TGTCTGTACAGCACTTTGGTTGGCCTTGTTGCTGTTTTAAGTGCTCTATAAATAAAATGGTATGGTAGCCCTCTTCCTCGTCAACAGTCATGTCAAACTGGTTCAAAACCAAAAATGTCCATGCTCAATAATCCAGGTATACAATCCAACCAGTTTTTGAAATGTGTTATGTTTTGTGAAACATTTCAGAAAAAAAAAAAAGAAAGAAACTGTCCAGATGACCTGAAAATGGTTGGGTTTCATTTATCTTGTAAACAACTTGCTCCTTTTCGTCAGTTCAGAATAAAGGGACGAGACAGCCCCTGGTTTACTCCAGAGCTAGCTGACCTCCTGTACAGGAGAGATCATCTTTGGGCCACAGCGAGAAAATCTGACTCAGACACTGATTGGTTGAGTTTTCAACAGATGAGGAATAAATGCACAACTGCTGTCAAAGCAGCAAAACAACTATTTCTTATCTCAGACCTCCAAAAATCTAAATGACCCTAACAGATTCTGGAAAACCATCAAATCTCTCTCAGGCACCCCCCCCAATCATCTGACCTCCCATCACAACTTCTCATTAACTCTGTTCCTGTGTCAAATAAGCACGAGATCCTGAACTGTCTCAACAAACATTTTGTTGCTTCTAGTTCTTTATTTGACACAGTTACTAATGGAAGATCAGCCACTTCACTTAATAACCAAACTTCTACAAATCAAATCCCTCCTACAAGTCAATCTTCAGTTAATCACAGCTTCTTTTTTTCTCCATTCTCAGTCAGTGAGGTCAATAAACTGTTAAAAGATCTTGATCCTAAAAAATCTGCAGGTCCAGATGAACTTCCACCTTATTTCTTAAGGCTGGCTGCTCATATCATCACAGTCCCTGTGACCCACATCTTCAATCTCTCCATGAGACAAAACTCCATCCCAGACACTTGGAAAACAGCCTTTGTTCTTCCTTTGCTGAAGGGAGGAGACCCCACCTCACTGAACAACTATGGACCAATCTCTAAACTCTGCATTAAATTTAGCCAAGGTTCTAGAAAAACTGATAAACTCTCAAACACCTGGAGAGCTGGTGCAGAGAGAATAACCTTCACATCAATGTGAAGAAGACAAAGGAGATGATTGTGGACTTCAGAAGGAACAAAAACATCTACACCCCCCTGAACATAAGAGGATCTGTGGTGGAAGTGGTCTCCAGCTACAAGTACTTGGGTGTGCACCTGAACAACAACCTCAGCTGGAGCACCAACACCACCAGCCTGATGAAGAAAGCTCATCAGAGACTCTACTTCCTCAGACGGCTGAGACGAGCTGGTCTGGAAGCTCAGTCCTCACCTCCTTCTACAGGTGTGCAGTGGAGAGCATCCTGTGCTCCAGCATCAACGTGTGGCATGGAGGCTGCACAGCTGCAGAAAGAAAAGCTTTGCAGAGAGTGGTGAAGGCTGCACAGAAATCTGTTGGAGTCAGTCTCCCCACCATCACAGACATCTACACCTCCAGATGCAGGAAGAGGGCCACCTGCATCATGAAGGACCCCACCCACCCAGCACACACACTTTTTGCCCCACTCCCCTCAGGAAGGAGGTTAAGGAGCATTAAGTGTAGAACCACTAGACTGAGGAACAGCTTCTACCCTGAGGCTGTTAGACTCATGAATCTCTAACTAGAATAATCACTGTGAAAAACCATATCATGTTGCTGCTGATCTGTTTCATGTTGCTGCTGATCTGTTTCAATGTTGATGTGTTCATGCGTGCACATCTGCTCACAGACTCATGTTCATGTTTGTGCTGATGTTCAATGTTTTATGTTATGAGTGCTTAATGTATATTTAGTTGATGTTTTTCTTAGTTCATATCTTAGATGTTATTACTGTTTTTCTTATACATTTTATTGTTGGATGTAACTGGGACCCTGCGTACATAATTTCGCTCCACCACATGTACCACATGAGGTGCGAATGACAATACAGAATCTCTGACTCTGACTCTGAAATCAAAAATGACCTGGACTCATTTAACATCTTACCTCCACATCAATCTGGTTTCAGGAAACAACACAGCACAACCACTGCTTCACTGAAGGTTCTTAATGATGTTGTTGAAGCACTGGATGCTAAGGATTATTGTGCTGCACTTTTCTTAGACCTGTCTAAAGATTCTGACTCTGTGGATCAGAACATCTTGTGTCATAAACTCTCAGAAACTGGTTTCTCAGAACACACCATTGGTTGGTTCTCTAACTATCTTTCAGATCGGAGGCAATATGTTCAACATAATGGTACTTCCTCCAGTTATTTAACAGTCAACAATGGTGTACCACAAGGCACAGTCTTAGGACCCACCCTCTTTACAATCTACATACATAATGTAGGTAAAAACATCCTTGACGCATCCATACATTTCTATGCTGATGACACAGTTGTTTATTGTCGAGCTAAAACTGTTGCTAAGGCTTTCCAGCTTTTGAAATCTGCATTTAACATCATCCAGACTGATTTGTTCCACATCAAACTTGTCCTAAATGCTGATAAAACCAAAGGGATGCTTTTTTCAAATAGGAAGTTGGTCCCAGCAGTTCTTCCTCTGATTTTATCCTCAAATGGTGTCCCCATTGAGTTTGTTGATTCCTATAAATATTTGTGTATCTTGGTCGACTCACATCTCTCTTTTAAGCTCCATGTGGAAAACTTGGTAAAGAAACTGAAAGTTAAACTGGGTTTCTTTTTCAGAAACAGATCCTGTCTAACTCTGAACACTGAGGAACACCTTGTATCTGTGACTTTCCTTCCCTCCATTGATCACGGTGACATTATTTACATGAACGCTCCTAAAAGAACCCTGCAGATGTTGGATGCTGCAGATGTTGGATGCTGCAGATGTTGGATGCTGCAGATGTTGGATGCTGTCTATCAGATGGTCAGAGTCAGAGATTCTTTTTTGTCATTCGCACCTCATGTGGTACATGAGGTGGAGCGAAATTATGTTCACAGGGTCCCAGTTACATCCAACAATAAAATGTAAAATAAAAACAGTAAGATGTAAGATATAAACTAAGAAAAACATCAATTAAAAATACACTAAGCACTAACAGCATAAAAACATTATGTCAAACTGCAGCACGAACATAAACATGAGTCTGTGTGAGTAGATGAGCACGCCAACATTGAAACAGATCAGCAGCAACATGAAACAGATCAGCAGCAACATGAAACTGATCAGCAGCAACATGATGTGGTTTTTCACGGTGATTATTCTGGTTAGAGATTCATGAGTCTAACAGCCTCAGGGTAGAAGCTGTTCCTCAGTCTAGTGGTTCTACACTTAATGCTCCTCAACCTCCTTCCTGAGGGGAGTGGGACAAAAAGTGTGTGTGCTGGGTGAGTGTGGTCCTTCATGATGCAGGTGGCCCTCTTCCTGCATCTGGAGGTGTAGATGTCTGTGATGGTGGGGAGGATGACTCCAACAGATTCATAACTGAATAATAATAATAAGAAGATTCATAACTGGCTGTAACTACCGTACCCACCACTGCACCCAGTATCCACTGGTTAACTGGTCACCATTAACTTCACACAGACTCTCTCACTGGTACATCTTCATCTTTAAATCACTTCCTGGTCTGCTGCCTTC